TGAGACCAGTCGGAATAGTTGCTGCCTGCAAGGAAGAAGGAGGGCAAACTGGGAAAAGCACTAGGGACCCTTCTAAGGCAGAGGAAATATCCCATATCTTGATCTGAGTGGTGGTTACCACAGATAAGTACCTGTATGTATAACAGCCAGCTATTCTCTGTACATTAGCTGTACACTCTCTAATATTATATTGTTACACCTCAACTGGAAAACAATGTAAAACATTATTTCTAAATGCCTCTTAAGTTTTAATTATAAATTTAAGAAGACTAGCAACTGAAAACCACAGCAGTAGCACATGCCCACGCTATTACTAACTTCTAAGAATTCCTCATTACGGAGTACTTCAAAGAAATCACTTTGGGATTAAAGTAACACACTAACATGTACAAGAGGAGTTAATAAAAATAACAGCAGCTGACATTTATAGAGGTTTTACTATATGCCAAGCACTTTACTCTCATTGTATCATCTAATCCCCACAATGGTAGTAAGAAATACTACTGTGTTTAATCCCCATATTACAGATAAAAAAATCCAAGGCTTAGGTCAAGATCATTGCCCAAGCTCATATCAATAACAAGAGGTGAGTTGGTCTATAAAAAGAATAGCTGAAAAGCAAGCTCTACATCAACTTCTCCATTTTCTGTTTACATTAGGGCAACATGAAAATAAAATCAACCACAGAGTGCCAAGCAACAAAACATAAGCAGAAAATGTAACCTAAGTTTAATTACACAGTCTATTTTTTCTCAATTAAGATTAAAAGGCACATCACTGGCTCTCAAGAATGGAAGTCCCTTCTCACATTCCAACTGATATGTGGCAAAACAAAATGTGCTTTAAAGTAGTTTTTTACTATCTCTGGGCATCAAAATACATCACATAGCAAAGCAGCTAAATGGCTATAAACCAGGATGGTACATAGTAGGAGGCATGCCCAGGATTATGGTGGAAAAAAATTAAACAAATTCTCAAAAAGGCTTCCTTATTCTAAACACCATTGTGAGGAGAGTGTGGCAGAGGACTACCTGGGTACAGGACAGGAAGAGCTGGGCTCTACACAAAACATGAGTTTAGTCAGGGACAAAACACATCAAGAAACCCAACTAGCACACAACTGTACCCTGCACTCGAGGAGAACTATGAGCACTGGAATTTACATTCTCCAAAGATGAAAACCAATTAACCATACCATCCAAAATTCAGAACTGGTCTTCCTTGAAAATCATACAAGGAAAAAAAAAACTGAGCTAGTATTCTGAAAAAAAATGTTTGTACCCAAAAATTATTTGCGGCACGGACAGAGAAAAGAAGACACACAAATGTTTCTCAAAAATTCTGTTCCAAAGATTTTACAGAATGTTTCTGGCAGATGTATTTTTATTTACTTGATAGTAAATTTCAAGTAGATTTGAAATTTAGATTGTCTAAATTTCAGAAATGCTAGATTGTGTGCAAAGCAATCTCTAAAAAATACTAGAAATCAGAATTCTTAAGACAACAGAAAAGAGATACCTCCTCTAAATGAATTTAAATTCATTAATAATGATGTAAGAAAAGCACAGTAAAAATCACATCAAAAGAGTAAAATTTGCCTATTCAAACAAGCATTTCATCTCTGCAGAACAATCTGCTTCACATAAAAGTCTAATTTTGCTCTTAGTTAAAAAAAATTAATATATCAGCTCCTATGGAAAGCCAGACTGTAAGACAATTTTACATATTTATCAAAAGATCACTGAAAGAAAACTCACCAAACCTGCAACATGTATATGCTTGTGCTTCAGAGGGAAAGCAGAGAAGCGACTTTCTGTACGCACACCAGAGTTCACTTCAGAGTTAAAACACATCAGCATAGTCCTGCTTGTAATAGTCTGGACCAGGAATGTGCCTTTGGGTTGGGCTTTTCTCCTACAAGATAAGCTGTTAAGTCATGCCATGATTTTAGATCTGCTAACATATGGAGTCCTCCAATGTAGCCTTCTCTCTGCCCCTATGTCCCCCTCAACCCACCCTGCTCCACTCCCTCTGTGCATGCACGCGCGTGTGCGCGCGCGCACACACACACACACACACATATACACACACATACAAAAAGGCACTGCAGGGCAGAAATTCCTCAGGTGCTCGCTAATGGAATTCCCAGGGTCTTGGAGCCGCTTCGGGGATCAAGAGATCTCACAGCCCCTGCTGGGGTAAGGAGCAGCAAGTCTGTTCCATTTAATCAAATACAGAATGAATTTTCAGCTCTATTCACTAGCTTGTCTCCAGGGCTCTCAAAAGGCACCAGGCAGCTAGAATCGCACACATGTGGCTCTTTTAGGCAAGTATAATTAGTTTGATTTTAAAAAGCCACATTAATAATATCACCTCAGGACCATTATTCAGGGGACAGATGACAATGATACTGTATGTTTTAAGCCTGACAATGGAGGAAAGAGCACAAACAATGAGGGAAAACTTGAAGGATTAAAAAAAAAAAACCAACAAACCACGTTTTTCACTTAATTGTAATCCAATATTTTTGAAGTGACGTTCAGTATATTCCACACACTATCCCTTAATTTTAACAGGAAAGAATCAAATAAAGCCCTCCTTTTGAAAGTGAATTAGTGCCAAATACAAAAATTTATCGCGTGGAATGTTTACATACAAAATTAAAATTTAAACAAAACCCATAAAACGTACTGATTCAGGTTCACAAAAATTGTTGAATAAGTTATCAATTGAAAAAAACACTACTAAAGCAAGTCCTTCAAAGCAATATATTTAGCGACCAGACTCCACATTCTGCTTCTAACCTAATTAGATTGTATTAAGTAGTAAGTTCATCTATCTACAGAAAGACTACTGGGCAGGCAGCTCATTTACTTCCAATGTGCTGCCTGACCCTGACTTCCACCTAGTAACAATGAGACCACAATGTGTTAGCAGGTATAACTATACAGTAAAAGAACAAATTTTTCAAGTCATTACTTTTTACCTCCTATCCCCTCCCCTCCCTGATTTCACTAAGATGAAGTTTAATTCCTGAAATCATTTCCCTAGCATTTTACTTAGAAACAATCACTAGTTTTATATTATAAACTCTACATTCACAAAAGAACAAAAATTTCACTTCAACTTATACTTTGACAAAACCATAAATGAAATTGTCTGCAAATTCATGAAAACATAAAAGCAAAGCAGAAAAATATGAGGAAAGCGTAAGAACTAGCTGACAAATTTTACCTAACCTCTTTAGAGAAGAGCCCTGTGACAGGAATTCCTAGGAGCAGCCTTGGACACGTGTTCTGTTGATCTGGGGAGGAAAGTGCTATCCTAAATGAACTTAATTCCATTACTACAAAGTCAAACTACCTGCAAAGAAGGCAAGAAATAAGACAGATTTAGAAGCCCTCCTACACAACTTAGATCAGTATGCTCTAAGTCCAAAGGTTCTTTGTACTTGAAGGCTTGAGCATCAGAGCTGTTTAAGTACTTTACAGGAAAGAGGAGGTTGATGAGAACCACAGCAATCAATCAAAGCATCCCCAGTGAGTTGCTATGAAAACAACAGCAAGGTACCTCTAGTAACTGATTTTCCTGGTTGACTAAACTACTCAAACAAAGACAGATTTCCCAAACACTATATCCGAGTTTTTGCATGGAAAGTTAAACAATAACATTTGTGTGTTTTTTAATAGAAATATAAATGTTTCTGTTCTACACACTGCCAAACACACACCCAGGGCATGTCTTTACAAAATGAAACAGGTTTTCTCCATCCTTCTCATGTAACTTCAAATATGAGGCAGTTTATGTCAACATGTGCATAACAGAAACTACAGTATTTGGTGCCTGTCTGGGTGCCTGAGAATGCTTTCTAGTTAAGCACTAATTTAAAATTCCCAGAAATTTTCTGAAGGTTTTCTTTCATCTTATCCTAAAAGGTGAACTTATCCCCACATTTTCAGCTAAATATGCAATACTAGGAGGGGGAAAAAAAAAACTATGAGATGTAATTGAATACTGAGAATAAGTTCATTTCAAATTCCCCAAGCTCCTCCCCACCCTCTTTGGAGACAGACCCCTTTAAGTATGGCAAAAGTGTCATTGAGGCATGGAATCAGAATTAACTGATTTGCTCTCTTTCATCTTCACTGGGATAGGCCTGAAAATAAATCTCATGTTACCCTTTAGTCCAAACTCCTGCTTTGCAAGGTGTCTGATTTGAGACACAAAGAGTGACTCTCTGTTAACGAGATTGTCTAACTTCTAGGTCTCAACTGGAAAACAGCCTGCCCTTAATAAAAGCACCTGCCACCTTCTGTCGCCCAGGCAGGGCAGGCATTTCGGAGAGAGCTCTTTTGGAGACCCTTCCACCTGATTTGGTGGGGTTAAGAAGGACAATAAAGGTAAGGGAAAAAGAGTCTATCCCCCTCAGTGATTTATTACTAAAATTCCTAGATGCGGAGAGAAAGCAACAAAGGTCTGGAAGCTGCAGACTTTTATAAAAATGAGCTGTAACGTATTTAGCAAATGATAATGCAAGCCACAGAAAGCTTTACAGCGCAGAAGGAAAAATACACTCCCTGGGGCTGGGAAGTCACTGCGTCTGGGAAGGCAGAGAAAGATACATTGTGCCGGAGCTTTCGCCCCTTCTCCTCATAGATAAATCAACTGTCTTTTGCGGGCGCTTCGCGGGGACTGAGGTGCAGAGGCCGGTAGCCGCCTCCCCCCGGAAAACGCACAGACGCCTGGCGCTCCCGGCCGTCCGGCGCCCCACCTGCCCAGCGCCCGGTCGTCGGGAAGATCTCACCGCGTCACTGACACCTCTCCCGCCTTCTCTCACGAGGCGCTCCGAGTCCCCGAGCAGGCGAACGTCGCAGCTCCGGGTTGGGCATCCCTCAGCATCCTGCCCCAACCCCAGACCCCTATGCACCCGGGCCCCCGGACGTGCCGGCTCCCAAGCCCCAGCCTCCGCCCCCGCCCCCGCCGCGGGACCCCTCCTGCACCTCTCCGCCGGGCTGACTAAGCCTCCAGACCTCCTGCGCGGCAGCCGGCTCCGAAAGCCACCCCCAGGTCATCCCCCGCGCGCTGGCGGCTGCGGCAGCGATCCGAACGGGCCCCTCCATGCGCGGGGCAGGGCGGCAGGAGCGCGCGGCGCCTAGCACGCCAGCGGGGGCGGGGGAGCGGGGGCGGGCGCGGGGTCTCCAGTCTCCTGGCTCTGAGCAGCGCGAGCCCGGCACCGGAGATCAGGAGGAGGGGAGCTGGGGGCGGAGCCAGCCGGGCGCGTCCCCGCGGCCGTGCTCCTCCCCTCCTAGGCGCGCGGGCGCGCAACTCCGCGGGCACAGAGCGGACCTGGAACGCGAGGAGGAGGAGTGGGAGGCGCCCTCGAGGGTGCGCGCGCAGCCTGCCAGGTCAGCGGCAGGGCCGGGCCGTACCAACCTGCGGGCGGGGGACGCCTTTGCTGGACCTTCGTCCGCACCGCTCAGCTGGGGCCACAGATTGCAACCCCCGGTAGCACGGGCGAGGCCGCCCACTGGTGAAGGACGGGTGAGACAAGTGGCCTCAGCGAGCCACAGAGACCGCGTACCACGGCACTCACCTCCCCCTCACCTTCGCCTCCCCGGGAGAGGCGACATTTCTGGCCGGTCCGCAGACGGTCAGCACGTCCCGGCGCCCCGCCCAGGCCGCGCCCCGCGCGCCCCGAGCTTTTGCGGACTCTCGGCCCCCCAGTCCGCGCCCGCACGCACGCTCGCGGAAGCCGGTAACAGCTCAGCCTAGGAGAGGCGCAGGGTCGCCTGGGGGACTAAAGCGGCCTTTGGCCCAGAGTCTTCGCAGATTGTCAGTTGAGCCTGCCCCAAGTTACCTGATCTGACAGAACTTGAGTTGTTCAAACAGAAAAGAGAAAAAAGAATTTCTATTTGAAAGATTGTTGTAAAGCATGAACATGATGATTTTAGGAAAAGCACCTGCCAGTCTGGGCATTCGAGGACTGTAACTGCTACATAAATATTATTATCACTTCAGTTTTTTAAACCAACATCATCATTACTTACTGTTAGTTTAATACAAAAGGAGCCCTAATGATACCTGAAGTTCATAAATACTTAAGTACTGAACTTCAGAAGAAGTTCAAAGAAACGTTTCGAAGGTGTGGTGGTCAAGCGGATAGCTTTCTGCTTTAGCTAAAAAGAACTAACTTCTAGTTTGTTCTCAGTTGTTCCATTTTTTCCTTATTCAGACCGAAAATCTATATGTCATTAACATGTAGTAAGTAATTTTTCATTCAGGAAAAAAGACCACCGCCAAACATGGAAGATATAACTGAAATAAGAATTTTGTATGAATGGAATAGCAGTCTTGCAGGCTTCTTGTGGCTACGAGGAGAATTCCAGGTTCTTCTCTTGGGACCTGGCTGAATATCCCCAGCCTCACAGTGCCATTTGAATGTTACAGTGCCTACTGTTACTCATAATCAGATTGAGAAATAAACACAGTATGTGTTGATGCTAATTACTCTTCTTCTGCCTCACTCTTGAAGTGGAGAAATCATTTCAGGTGAAACACAAATGAGTAATTCATTTGTTCAATGCTTACTTTTAAAGTATTAATATTACTTGAGCACCTACTCTATGCTGTTTCTAAGCACAGGAGTACACAAATAATGCATGCTCCAAAGCTTCAAAGAGCTCACTATTTAATTGTAATACAAACACATAAATGAATAAGTACTCTGAGACTTCTTCAGTGCAAGGAATAGGCACCTGTGGGAGCCCAAGGACAGTGTTGCCTTCCCTATCAAGAGTTTGGGAGTAGGGCTTGCCAAGTCTTACTAAAAGACATAACCTGTGAACTATGTCTTAAAGGATAGTAAAAGTTGGCCAGGTGAAAGTGAAAGCATGGAAAAAAGGCGAGAAACACCAATGCAGCTCAAAGGAACTATAAGCTTTTCTATGTATCTACAGAAGCAGCTAGAGATTGGTGAGTGGCACTGCAGAAAGAAAGCAGAGCCAAGTCACAGATGGCCACATTCATCATTCCAAGAAGCTGGGACTTTATCCTTTAGGCAATGGGGAGCGCAGACAAGGTTTTAAGTGGGAATGTGATATAGTCAGATTTGTGTTTCAAAAGATCAGCTTGAAGTAGTGACAAGGATAAATTTGAGAGAACCACACCTTCAGTCAAAAAACTGGGGGCAAGGTGTAGTGGCTCACACCTGTATCCCAGCTCTTTGGGAGGCCAAGTCAGGAGGATTACATGAAACCAGGAGTTTAAGACCAGCCTGGACAACTTAACAAGACCCCATCTCTTAAAAAAAAAAAAAAAAAAGGAGAGAGAAAAATTAGCCACATGTGGTGACATAACCTGTAGTCCCGGCTACATGGGAGGCTGAGGAAGGAGGATCACTTCAGCCCAGGAGTTGGAGGCTGCAGTGAGCTATGATGACACCACCATGCTCTAGCCCAGGCAACAGAATGAAACCCTGTTTCGGAAAAAAAGAAAAAAATTGGAAACTTCCAAAGCAGTCCTAGTAATTTAATCCAATCAAGATACTTTATTTTCCTTAGGAAAATAGTATTAAGAACAGGAAAAGGGAAATAAATTTCAGAAACAAAGAAATTTTGACAGGACTTAAAAACTAAGAGAAAGGACTCAAGCCTTCCAGCATGAGGGGAGGGTGGTCACTCTACCTATCCCCAGGGTACCTGAGAAGAGAGTAGTGCCTGAAAAAGATACAGATTTTAGGGATAAAAAAAAAATGTGTTCAGTTTTGAACCTTTTGAATTTGAGGTGGCTGTGTGCTGTAGTCTGAATGAACTCCTCCAAAATTCACATATTGAAACTTACTTGTCTGTGTGATATTGTTAAGAGGTGGGGCCTTAGGGAAATAAGTCATGAGGGTAGAGCCCTCATGAATGGAATTAGTGATCATATGATACAACTTCAGAGAACTATTAAGAACTTGCCCTTCCATCCCTTCTGCTACACGAGGACACAGAGAAGCACCATTTGTGAAGAAGAGGCCCTCACCAGCCACTGAATCTGCTGGTGCCTCGATCTTGGACTTCCCAAGCTCTAGAACTGTGAGGAATAAATTTCTGTTCTTTATAACTTACCCAGTCTGAGGTGTTTTGTAATACCAGCAAAAACAGAAGGAGACACCATGGAACCTCCAAGCACAGTAACCACAAGGTACATAACCTCAGGTTGGAGGTATAAACTTAAAAGTCATTGGTATAGAGTAGTATCTATAACATAAAAGTGGAAGTGATCTCTCAGGAAAAAATATGGAACACCAGAAAGTCATAGCCAAGGATGGATCTCCAAAATTCCAATAATTAAAGCCTCCAGTTATCCTGATGAATTTAGAGGGAAGGTGGGACACTTTTAATGGATGCTGGAAGAATAGGGTAAAGTTTGGAATGATCATTAGGAAAAATGAGAGTTGAGAAATGAAAATTGAAAATTAGTCACAGGTTGATGAGTGAGATTGAGGGTTTGTCTAAAGGTGGGGAGCTATAAACTACCATAAGCTATAGTCACAGAGTGTTCAGGATTCTGTGATTTTTCTCCATCAAAACTTAACCACTCAGGGAATGAAAGAAAGCAAGGGAAGCACACCACCAATCCAAATTTAGAGTTTTACGGAGAAATGCAAAAAAGAAAACAATATATGTTATCAGTAAGAAAAAAATTAAATCATCAATCATAGACTCCGAGCAATGAGCTGGAAAAGATTTGAGAAGAATGATTGATTGGAAGAAATGATATATTAAAGAAAAGATTTCTGTGAGTGAAAGACCAATTGTTATGGGATTAAGTGTAAAAAAAAGCAGGAAGTCTTTGGTGATGATCAGAGTTTACCATTTTAGAAGTAGAAGAGTTGCCAGTTATGACTAGGTCTGGTATACTAATGGATGCTTTTGGGTAAAGTGATGTAAATATTTCAGGTCATTGGGGTTTATGCTATAAGGTGACACTGGGCTTGTGGAGGGACAGACCTTCAGAGACTGAGAAATACCCTGAGCCAGGAACCCAAGTGCCAGGAACTAGTTAGGAAGGTTGTGAGATGATAGTAAGTGAAAGAGATACACGTTCAGTGAATTTTAGGCCTGAATTGGGCAATTTTACACTACTAAATAAATGTTAAAACTGCTTCTTCAAGAGATAGAATGACATTAAGATAGAATGACTTGAGCCATATCAAGTTCTGACTAGACCTCATTTGACCTTGTTCAGATTACTTAAGCTCTTAAGAGTCTTGATTTCATCACACATAAAGTAGGGACAATGATAATACCTCATATAGGGGTGATAATACCTCCTACTTTAGTAAGCTGCTAGGATTAATTGAAATGATACATGTAAAACACTTAATAAAGCGCTTGTCAGGTAGCAAACGCTGAATAGGAGCTATATACCTACAACAATAATTAATGCTTACACAGTTCTTGCCATATGCTAAGTAGCATTTTAAATATTAGTCCCATATTACATGTAATTGAGGCATGTAACTGAGGCACAGAAACAAGAAGTGCCTTGACTGAGGCTGTACAGCTAGTCAGTGTCAATTCTTTTTTTTTGCAGTTTTTTGCTGGGGCCAGGTTTGAACCCCACCACCTCCAGTATAAGGGACCAGCGCCTTACTCCTTGAGCCACAGGAGCTAATCTGTCAGAGCTGGTATTCACACCAGGGAGTCTGGGGCTATAGGTCCAACTCTAAATTTCTATGCATTAATATCGCCCCATGATAAGAATATTCATCTTATTAATATCACTTCAAATAATTGGATCAATTAAACAACTTCTACTGAGCATCTTTTAGGTATAAAGCTCCAAATTGAAGAGACAGAAGGGAACACCTGTATTAAACACCTCTATGGGTCTCCTCAGACTCTCTTGGCCTCACTTGTCTCTGAGACCCTACAGCGCCCCCCTCTGCACTCTTCCCACCATTTCTATACATTGTAGAGCTTGGAATCTGGCTCCCCCAGCATCTGCTAAGAGGGCCAAGTGACACAATTCAAAAGTACAGGTGTTATCTCCCGCATGGAACATAAGAAGGTCATAAGAGGAGCTTGACAGAAAAGTACTTCTCCTTTCCTCCACT